TTGGTTCATGATCCGGAAACATTCATATTCTGTTTCAAGCCTCGACTTAATACTTTGAATAAAAATGTCCAGAGGCTCACTCGATCCTTTGTTTTGCCTTTTATTGCGACGGCTGACATGAATTGCAACCTTAGCCATGCACGCTAAGAAACAAAATAAACCTTGTGCTTTGCGAGACATAAAGTGTTTTGAGCGATGGGGTGGTAAATGGTGAACCACCAAATAGGCATGCGAAAGTCTGGTTGAAGCAGTCGCGACGTGATGTTATTAAAATAATGGAGTAAGGCGCTATTTGATGGACAATCATAAAAAATGTGTTGAAGTGTGTCAACTTCATCACAAAAAGGACATTTATCAGAATTGTTCAAACGAAATCTCCCCGTTGGAAAGGCACCATGGGCAATATGCCACTGCAGAACCCCATATTTGTTAATGACTGGTGTTTCATAGCAATCCTTGAAGTTATATTATATTATATTATATTATTCACAGCAATATGGATGTTACCAAAGTATAATGAATATGGTGATTGGCCAGCATCTGGTGAAATTGACATTGTGGAAAGCAGAGGTAGACAATAATTCTAATCTAATCATGATTTGCCCCATGAGTATACAACTGTAATGAATGAAATAAACTATAATTGTAGGTAACGTGGACTACAAATCTCCTGACGGAGTTTCACAGGGTGTGGATAGCATGGGTAGTACAATGCATTGGGGACCATACTTTCCATGGAATGGATGGAACAAAACGCACGCTACAAAGTAAGTATACACAATGTTTGACAGGGTTGTCATCTTCAAACAGTTATCCCAATGGATGCTTTTCTAATTCTCGCCGCCGCAAGACTCAACGAAATAAGTGAAGGCTTGACAAGGCCGAGGCCGTGGCGTACGACGATGGCTATTCTTTGATGGCTTGGATGTTATAAAACATTACCAATACAAATGTCGCATATGTTTGAAATGTTATATATTGAAATGAATGATTGAACAAAAACCTATCATCATAAAATTTATTGTAAAGTTCCCATTACTATCATCGTTATATTACATTACATTACATATATTGCCCTGCCATATTCTGGCAGCAGCATCGTTATTATTATGAGGCCAACAGCCAATCATACGAGAACTTCATATACTATGATTTGGTTATTTTAGAGTGTTGGAGACAGGATCCTTTGCTTCTGACTTTCATAAATTTGGTATGGAATGGACCAAAGACTTTATCAAGTAAGTATACTATAAATGAGAGTATGTTATTGATGATTGTGCCTAAACTATAAAGGCTGAAAAGTGATCCAATAAATTACATTAATTACATAGTTACACAGTGAGTCCCAGTGATCGATATCCAGTCCTGACAAACAGCCGGTGTGGAATGGGCATATCTAAATGTAATCCTCACACACATATGCTCACGCAACTGAAAAACAAAAAAAGCGGGCATAACGTTTCATCTAAAAGTTAAGGGCAAATTTCCTGATCGAATTTTCTATTGCTACTACAGCACTTTTCAGTCTTTTTTGTTCTACCTTCTGCCATCTGTTGTTATTCTCTTCTGTTATATTGTATTTGCACAGATTTTTCGTTGATGATAAATTAACTTTAGAAGTCGATCCTGGTGAAGACGGGTTCTACAAATACGGTGGATGGCATGAGAGTATACCAGATGTGATGAACCCATGGGCTAATAGTCCAAATAAAATGGCACCGTTTGATAAAGAGGTAACATACATTTAACCTTTGCTTGATTTCAAACATTATCACCATTAATCAACAGTCGAGTGGTATACCACGAAATTGGTTATTTTTGACACTCTTTCAAAATATTGGTTGCTGCGTAGCCACACATTGTTGTGTTTTGTTTTACTTTAGTTCTACCTCGTTATGAACGTTGCTGTTGGAGGTGTTTCTGGGTATTTCTGGGACGGTAATGTAAATGGTGCGTATGCTAAACCGTGGCTTGATACTTCCCACACGGCGGCAAAAGACTTTTGGAACGGCAAAGATCACTGGTATCCAACATGGAACCCGGAATTGGATAACGGAGAAAGCGCGGCAATGCAGATCAAAAGTGTCCGAGTGTGGAAAAGAGAGTAAATTGTATAGATAACATGTTCTAGCCATCGATATATACGTTCATTAAATTTCTGATCAAAATTGATAATACTTTTTTTTACAGTTTTACTATGCTATGTTTTATTACTTTAGTGATGATTGAGAGCTGCGTTACTAATGAACACTCAATACACTGTTTTACTACATTATATCTAAGCACGTACAGCTTCTCAGACTTAATAATTGTCTTAATTAAAAGGGGTCATATATACACACAAATATTAACTTATCAGAAGTACAGGCTATGAGCTGTATCCCATTAAGCTGTTATATAAGTGATATATGTGCAATGAAGTTAAGACCATAAGAATGTCAATTACTTTCAAAATGGTATGTATGAACATACAAAGGCTCGGTATACCAATATTTCGGTGTCCGGTTTTAGGACATGCTGGAGCACAGCCAGGCCATTTGATGTTGTGGTCGCTATTTTGGTAGGAAACAAAAGATATTAAATTCACCCACACTTAAAAGCTATGTTAAACTTTGGACAGTGGCAGTTTGTGGGTATAAGTAATTCATGTGTTAGCCATCTATAAAGTTCATTTAGTTCGTGACCCATTGATAGTAAGGTCAAGAGTAGGGGTTGTTTTCCTAAGAATTCCTAGTTGACTTGGTGACTGTGCAGCATAAATAATTTGGTAGAATGCTTGTAATTCAGTGGCCACGAATAAATTGGTAGATTCAATATTAAACAATATTAATATTCTTCAAATTATTAACGAAATTGTGAATACAAACTGAGGAGTAATGTCATACTATAGTTTGTATAAATCATGGGAGATATTAACATTGTGATTATTGCAATAATATTCGAAAATCCAGTAGAACCACGTGCGATTCAAAGAAGTTTATCCACCGACCGATTGGAGAGTTTCCTGAGAGTGAATGAATAATATAATGTATAGTGACATTTTTTGAATGTAAATTACATATTGCAACAAAATGAATTATTAAATTGTAGACGTACTTTTCACGTGTGGAACTGATAAAGATCTAGTGTGCCTTCATTGTTTGTTTATTACAAATACTGTCAGTATTAGTTTTCACAGAGAGAGCAAATTTAGTGAAAAGACTTTTAGGTGTATACCCTGGGCACTGGCATGCCTGCGACTCGGCATGGTGTACAATCATCACTAAGATTAGTTGGATCTTATGTGTGCATTTATATAATTTCGGCACAATCTGAAAGTAATCCTCAAAACGATAGTATTATCACGGGGGCATTTCTTCTCCTCTGAGGGTTCTCCACACGTGCCAGGGGGAATATCGTCTCGTCTCTCTATCGGTTCCCTTGAGGTACGGGATCAAGAAAGTCACTTAAACTTTACAGTCAAATGAGACACACACAACGAAATACGTTTCAACTCTCGTCTTTAGTCGGTCAGAGCATTCTATAAGACACAGCGCCGTGTGGAAAAGTCCCCAAGACTATCGCAAGGCTGACCCAAGACTCTCTCTAGACTGCGTCTATCGTGGTGTACTCGCCAAGACCAACTAAAACCAACTACAAAGCAGTTAAAAGACTCTAAGGCGTAGCCTTCACACATACAGCCAATCACACTAAGTACTGGACACGTCATATCTTTTGATTAATCGTTCACTATATTAGTAACTGTGAATACTGTAATGTATTCACACAAGTCCAACCAGTGAGGCAGAAACAGCTTTTATTCATTCACACGATGTTTCATACAGGCCACCATTACAAGAATGTCGTCATACCAGAGAATAACTTACATCACGTGTTAGGGGTCATCTCCAATGACCTACAAGTAAGGGGCGTCTCACAAATATATATAACATGAGTACAGG